TCCTCATGTTTCCTGAATTTTTCTGCGGAGGTAAAAACATGCTTCACGTACCTAAAAACACCCTTAAAAATGCAAAATCAATGCTAAAAACCTTTTTCGTCTAATTTCATAATTCCGGCACGGTGGCATCGCCATGCTCCGACAATGGCATCCCTGTCTGCGGTGGTTGTTTGCCTCAGACTGGATGTTTTTGGCTAGTTTTAGCCGATTTCAGCCAGTTTTATACCCATCTCTGCAAAAAAAAAACACGTTAAGGGGCTTCGGTTGGCCCAAAAAATAAAAATTTATTGGTGGTGAAATTTTTCGGTGCGGCGGCTCCGCCGATTGGCCTTCGCGACTGGGTTTTTTTTTTGTCAATCTGTAGAAAACATAATGGTGAACACAATGGTGGAAAAATCGCACGAAACGGGAAACGATAAAGGGCTCATCGGAGGTCATTTTTTATTTTTCCTGTGGCGGCGCTACCAGGCTTTACCCGCAGTTTTCAGCTCATCCGTCGTTTCTTTTTCTCTAATTTGGTCATGGGGGTGTTCAAAATCAAATTCTGAGCGAATAAGAGAATTTTCACCTTTTTTGACTGTCGGAGGTGACTCTGACGCAACGACGGGTGACGGTCGGCTCCCTTCTCCGGCAACTGGTTCTTCTTCTCCGACGGGAGGCTGGCAGCTAGGGTTTGGGTTCGGTGTGAAGTGAGATATTTATACCCATCTCTCTTAAATCTGAGTCGTTCATTGTATTTGAAATAGACCGTCCAATCACATTTAAAGAAAAAATAAATCTGGACCATTCATCGTGATTTAATTTGGACCGTACGATCATGTTTAAAGAGGAAACGAATCTGGACCGTTCATCACATTTAACCGCGACCGTCCGATCGCAACTGAGGAGGGAACATATCCGGACCCTCCACACGCGCGGGAATGCATTCGGGTCGTCCCATCACAGGCACACGGATTGCCAGCATGGCCTCCCGCGTGGCATCGAGTCAGCGTGCCTTGCCACACGACGTGTTCCGGTTCATCGGGGCTCCTGACTGGGCAGTCTTATGCAGTGTAATTCTTTAATTGTGTTTTGACCCCAAGTTTCAGATTTTTCTTTCAAAAAATACCCCCTGAAACTAATTTTTATCCATTTTTCTCAAAATTATTTTTAATTTCATCCTCCACTTATTTTTTTCTAATTTTACATTAAATAAATATTTATAAATTTAAAATTTATATTTTTATATATATATTTTTAAATTAATTCCGAACTAAATTTT